GTGTCCTCAGAGCAAGCCCTTAAGGAGCTGGGCCTGGCTGAGCACCAGCTGCGCTTCACCTGTCGCGTGCACCTGCATGACACGCGCAAGGAGCAGGAGACTGCCATGCGTGTTCACAGCCACCTCAAGAGGTGGGCTCCTGCCCTGCCCCCCCAGCCCTGGTGCGCAGGCGTGGCAGGGGTGCAGCAGGGCTCTCACTGTGCCTCCTGCAGCATCCTGAAGGACCACTGCGTGCAGCATCTCCCTGACGGCTCTGTGACTGTCGAGTCCATCCTCATCCAGGCCGCTGCCCACTCCGAGGACCCAGGCACCAAGGTGCTGCTGGTCTCCTGGACTTACCAGGTGAGAGGGACCAGTGGGAATCCCTGGTGTCTTGCGTCCCCCGCCTGAGGTGGGGAGGGGACAACCACGCCCTGTTGCCTTCCCCTGCAGGATGAAGAGCTGGGGAGCTACCTGACATCACTCCTCAAGAAAGGCCTTCCCCAGGCCCCCAGCTGAGGCCGGTCCACTGCCCGGGCCTGTGCCTCTGCCCTTCTCCCACTGGAGGGACCCAGGCTTTGCTCCAGTACTATGGGCACCCTGGGCGAACAGATCCCATGGCTGGGCACAGACACTGTCCCCAGGGATGAGACCACAGCATCATACGCCTGCCTGAGCTGCTTTTCTGGCTAAAGAAATAAGTGGGCCTCTCTGGCTGAAGAAATAAATGGGCCTCTGGGGCCTCCTTGCCTTTTATTCCTATTCCTGGACACAGAAGAGAGGAATGGCGTGGGGTTCCTGGGCCACAGATTCAGTAAAAGCAGAATCAAAGGTGGTCGATGTTCCTGTCCTGATACACACGCCTTGTCTCCATCCCACCCACCCATCCACGGGCAGAGGAGGATGTCCAGAGTCGGGGAGGGGGAGGCAAGAAGCCAGGCAGGACCCCTGTGGCCCTGGGTGGCTGTAGACATGCTGGCTTGGCCAGCACGGGGCCAGTCCCTGCCAGCTGCAGTGACATGCAGGACAGGGAAGAGCAGCTGGGCCTGATGAGTAGCAGCTGACTGGACCTTGGTGGAGTGTCCAGGGGCACCTGTGGCTTCCATGCTGTGGACCGGGCAGGGTGCACAAGGCCAGGAGCTTTGGGGACAGCAGGAGGTAGGACCTATGGACAGACCTGGGTCAGCCCAGAGCCTCATGCTGGGCTGTAAAGTCTGTCTGCCCCATGCTTGTGTTCTCAGGGTCTAGGTCAGGGCTGGGGCTGGGGCTGAGGGGCTGTGGCCCTAGGGCAGGGGGCACCTCCACTCCACGCTTTGGTCTTTTTCCTTACTTTAGTTACTGGTCCCTGGCTTGAAGTCCTTGGGCCTCCCTGCCCCCCGTGCCATGGCTTTCACTCTGGGCACAGGCTGGATTCCCATCTGTTGGGACAACGGAAGGTGGGGTAGGGGGCTGGGATTGCTGCAAGGAGCCCCTCCCCCAGTGAGCAGAGACACCTTTCCAGCCCACCTCCTCTTACCAAGGTCCCTGAGGCCTCCATACAGCACTGACTTCAAGAACAGACCACAAGCTGGGGCCACACGAGCCTGGTGCTTGCCTAGGGGATCTTGGCTCTCCAGAATCACCTTCACCTGGGTTGGTGTCAAAGCCCCCAGTCCCACAGCCACCAGCACAGCTGTCATCCTCCGTACCTGTGACCCAGAGTGGACACTGCCACAGGAGCCTGCCCACCCCCAACCCCTGGGAGAGCCCTAGAACAGAGCCCACCTGTCTATACAGGAAGGATTGGCTCTCAAACTCCACGCTCCAGAACTGCAGCTTCCTGGGGATACAGGTGCCTGTGACATAGGGCAGCCCCAACCCCCCCACCCCTTGTGGCCTCAGACCAGGGAGCGGGGCAGGGGCCAGTGGAGACTGAGTGCTGGCCTATGGCCCCAGACAGGCCTAGTTCTCCCCTGTGTATCCACCCAGAGGCCTTCACTGGTCCCCTGTCCCTAAAGTGAAACCAGTGCTTGAGAATTAAAACAGCAGAACCCCCGGGGGCCTTGGCTGCTGAAAGGGTGCCCTAGTCTTGCCTGGATGAGGTCTGACCACTGCCCAGCTTGCCCTATGTCCTCAGGTGGAGATGCCACCAAGGCTAAGGTCCTGGGACATTGAGGGAGGGGAGTTTCTACCAGACACCCATGCCCTGATCCTGATGCTCTGCTGCCACAGTGCAAAGCTGGTTACACACAAGTTTCTCCTCTTGGGGCTGGCACCAACTAGGTGGTCCTAGGGTCAGCTGCTGCCCCCTGGTGGGAGACCCCTGGACAGTGGCAAGGATAATGGAAGCTACTCTCTGCCAGGCTGGGTTAGAACTGCTGGCCTCAGCAAAGTCTTTTCAGTGGCTGCCAAAACCTATCCACTGGGCAGAGTGCTCTGGGCAGAGCTTCTCAAAGAAAGGGAACACTCTCCGTCCTCTGCTCCCCAGCCTGGCAGGGACCCCAGCTCAGGGGGAGGCACAGCTGCAGGTTCCTGGGTGTCAGCCCCACCACCCAACTGCCTGTATCCTGAAGCTGACCAGCACCCCCCCAGCCAGGCCCCATGGACACCCGCTGCCCCCAGTGCAGCCTCAACCAGCCCTTGCTGGGGAGGTACTGGAGCTACATTCAGTCTCCTACGGCCTCGAGACCAGCGCTGGTACAAGGCCCTCCTCCTGCACCTGCTCTCCTGGGGGAGGACAAAGGGGCTGACTGGGCCCGGAGACACTGAGACGTGGCGCAGTGTGCGCACAGAGCTGGTGGCCGGGCTGCCCGCAGACTGGAAGGCGCTGAAGTCATGCGTCCCGAGGAGGTGCTGGGCGGCCTCCCGCATGGCGGCCACATCCAGGCAGCTGCGGGGAGCCAGGTGAACAGTCAGTCAGGAGGCAGAGGGAAGCCAGGTGGGCCTACCAGGCCCTTCCGCCCACTATCACCCACACTCACTCTGGCCGCAGGGCCCAGCACAGGTTTCGTTCAAACACAGGCAGCCGGTCGGGCCGGGGGCAGCCAGTCGCCAGGCGGTACAGGTAGGTCCTGGATGTGGCTGCGTAGCGCGCATGGAAGTCGCTGTGCACGCGGAAGGCCTGCAGTATCCTGTGGCAGCAGGTCGGGTTCACCAGAGGAACGACTCCGCCCACCTGCCCAGGTGACGCCCTGGCATCTCCCCCCTCACAGCTCCAGGGCCCTGAGAGGTGGCGGGCTGACCTGATGGCTGGGTGCTTCAGGTGGGTGTTGAGGGCCTCGGTCAGGACCTCGGGGGAGAAGGGCGGCTGGCCCGAGCGGCGCTGGACGTCCAGGTGCGCGGCGTTGCTCAGGGCGTGGACCCCGGCGTCTGTGCGGCTGGAGATGGTGAACTTGACCGGCGCCACCGAGTTCAGACGCGCCGCGGCCTCCTGCGGGACAGAGGCGCCGGGGCGGGTCCCCTCTGCCCCTCCGGGTCTGGCAGAGCTGCCCTCCAACCCGCGCGCGGGGCCGGCGAGCTCACCTCCAGGTAGTTCTGGACGCCGACGGCGCGCTGGCCCCTGACGGCCGCGACCCCGCTGCGGGCGGAGGCGGCGGGTCATGGCGGCGGCCG